TCTATTTAAAAATTACCTTTCATCGAAGTTCATCAAGAGGACCTTTTTTGTGTGTAAAACTTTGAAATTTTATGATCTGATATCAAATCATAGCACAAGATACGTACAAAAAAGTTAGGGTAGTTTTACCCCCACTCCCTTTCTATCTGACCCACCCCTTATAAAAATTTTGAATTTGTTATTATTCCAACTTATTGTCTATAAAAAGTTTTGGAGATATTAAATAAAAACCATCTTCAGGGGCTCCTCTTTCGGGGGCTGTAGCTCCCTTGGAAATCATTTCTCGACCTATTTTTATAGGAACTTTTTTTCTTATTTTTGTACGTAGAATCTGCTGTTAAAGTATTGCACGCTAATTATGGGACACCCTGTACATGTAAGAATTAATAGACTTATTATTTCTGTGGTACTCTTCACTATAGTATACATGATTTTTTAAATTTAAATCTGGTGAATATAATTAAATTATTTTCCCATTGGGAAAATGTCGTGTTGAATAAACTTATTTCCTTTACAGGTTGTTTTTATTCAAATAATTCCTTTTAGAGTTATAAAGTTGTGTGCCGTAAACGGCTAACAACCAGTTAGTTAAAGCTCAGTAAAATTTGACAAAGCAGGTAAACTAAACTAAAGTATACACGAGAAAAAGGAAAACAAAAAGCGCGAATGAAACCAGACGTTTGCGTACGAAACAGGACCGAAATGGACAAAGGAAATGCAGGCAAACCGAACGCGGATGAAAGCAGAGGTTTGCAATTAAAAGCAGATGTTTGCAGATGTTCGCGGATAAAAGCAGATATTTGCGGATAAATGCAGATGTTTGCGGATAAAATCAGATGATTCCCAGTGAACCAAACCGTGACTTATGACCTAAAATTTACGTAACACGTAGATCATATCTAGGTAATACAATTTTTACGTCATAGTGACATAATACTGACCCAAAACGTGACTTTTATATGATGTAATTAAATGACTTACATATTACGTACATCTTATGTAATATTAAAGTCATATCGTGACGTAACATTAAAGTCACTTTTCTTACGTAAGACTGACATAAGAAATCTGTCATAATATTACATAACTTTTAGGTCACTGTTTTACGTAAGACTGACGTAATAAATCTGTCATAATATTACCTAAGTTTAAGGTCACTTTCTTACGTAAGGCTGACGTAAGAAATACGTCATACTATTACATACGTTTTAGGTCACTTTCTTACGTAAGACTGACGTAAGAAATCTGTCATACCATTACATAAGGTCACTTTGTAAGGTAAGACTGACATAAGAAATCTGTCATACATATTATTTAGACGAACTAGATGCAAAAGTAATTTCAAAGTATGAAATTCACTGTATTTTAATGTTTGAATTAAACTAATTTCAATGAATGGACTTTTATTTTCAATGAGTGAAATAGGCAAACATAATTTTTATTTTTTATTGATTGAAATGGTTATTTCCTATCATTGAGTAAAATAACGTAAGTAAATTCTATTAATTGAAATTGACGCCAATTATTTTAAACAATAAAATCAGTGGATACTTTTCCTTACCAGTCAGTTTAATTTAAACATTAAAATACAACAAATTTCATATTTTGAAATTACTTTTGCATCTAGCATGATGAAAGAAATAACGCGAAGTTCCTTGAATTTTTTGGCTACTAATTAGTACTTGGTCGATTAAATGAAAATATGGTTTAAAATCAATAAAAAAATAATGTATCTTAATTTAATGTGTAATAAACATTATATAGATTTTTATGATTCCGGTTCCTAAGCAGTACTGCTTTATGACGTAAAAAATTTTGAAAATAGCGTCGTACTTTCAAAAGTACACATTTTATTCAATGGTCATTTGAAAAATCATGTAGGTACTCATAACCATGGTTGCAAGTACCTTTTTATTTTTTAAATTGTAAAAAATTATCAATAAAAGATTTACGTGTTATTACGTGTTAACGTGTTATTTTTGTATTGTATGTTACTGTTATTATTTTTTGAAAATTTTTGAAAATGGCGCTTTTGGTGAAAGTGGAATTTTTTTGTTCCACCCTGTACAATCGAAAAAATAAGTAGTTGCGCTTTAAAAGACCTGAAATCATATTTCACTCACTTCAAATTTTTTTTAATGTGACCTTGGCAGTACGACGTCTTTGTTTTTTTTTAATCCATGCATGTCAAAAAATGTTACCTATTAAAATACCAATATTTTAAATTTCTAAAATAAAAATAATTTTTAAATGTTGAATATTGTCCCTAGCTATAGCTATAGCTACTCATAAAAAGCGATTTTTTTTGTTCTTACTTCTGACATACCGTGTAAAGAATCTGAAAAATTAGTAGTTGGTTCAAAATCCATTGTGAGTTGGTTTTGATCAGGTTCATAAATTAGATAAAGTATCAGCTTGCAATAAATACCTTTTCGATAATGATTCCATTTCCCATTGAAAAAAATGTGACCTTTTGACAGTACGACGCCATTTTAGAAATTTTTCAAAATTGATTTAAGTCAAAAAGTAGTACCCAGAGTACCCTTGTCTCTGGTAGTACCTATATATTTAATGCCTTGTTTAACATACTAAAATTTCAATTTCCAAATACAAAGGTTCAAAAAATAAAACTATAAAAAATAATACAACCAAATTTAAAGAATTTAGTATTATAATATAATACGGTATAATTATATATTAATATAATACCTATAATAATAGATAGGTATTTGCCCAATATTGTTGGTATTTGTATATTTTTTAAATTTAAAAAATGATAAATAAAAGAAATGAAATTGGCAAACGAAATTATTTAAGTACACTGAGAATATTACGTATTAAGAAACTAAGAGATTTTTAAAAATATATGTAAACTATTAGAAGAATTTTTCATTGATAAACAAATTTTATAATAATATTATAATATATAAGGGTAAAGTTGTCAAATAACATTGATATATTAATTGTTAGCAGTTGCAATATGCAGTAAGGTTGCCTATGATAAGAATGCATCTACTATAATATAGTAGAAATCTACTTATCATAGGCAACCATTATTGCATAATACATCTCGCTTATGTGGCACTATTCGTTAAGTATATAAGTTGACACTGGAGATTTAGGAATTCGAACCTCGGCAAATAAACAAGTCACAAATTGTGGCCTACGAAAATTTAGCTTTTTCACTGGAATTCTTTGTTGGAGCCAGGATTGTTCCGTCTAGATCGCCCGTGGCCCTCTGCTTAAACAGTGCCTGCTTTGCAAGGCCAAAGCCGCGAACCCATAATTTTACTCATTTTACGTCAAGAGGGAACTGATTTCAGCCAAGTGAGCTGTTTCAGTATTTACTTATTTTGCCCTATGATGAAAAATAAGGAGGGGGCTTCGTCATTCTGAGGTCATATTTATGACACATTTATTACGTAAATATTATGTAATGGTATGATGTCAGTGTTACATCAAGATGTTTACGTCATATTTATGTCATATTTATTACGTCAGAGTCTGACGTAAGAAAGTGTGAAATAATGACTCTTGTATGACTCAAGTGTGACCTATATCTTACGTAAGCGTGACTTGACATGACATCATATTTACGTCATATTTACGTAATTGTGTTTACTGGGTTGCCATTAAAATCAGATGTTTGCGGATAAAATCAGATGTTTGCGGATAAAAGCAGATGTTTGCGGATAAAAGCAGATGTTTGCGTATAAAATCAGATGTTTGCGGATAAAAGCAGATGTTTGCCGATAAAAGCAGATGTTTGCGGATAAAATCAGATGTTTGCGGATAAAATCAGATGTTTGCGGATAAAATCAGATGTTTGCGGATAAAAGCAGATGTTTGCAGATTAAAATAGATGTTTGCGGATAAAAGCAGATGTTTGGAGATTAAAACAGATGTTTACGGATAAAAGCAGATGTTTGCGGATAGAATCAGATGTTTGCGGATTAAAGGAGGCGTTCGCGGATAAATGCAGATGTTTACGGATAAAAGCAGAAGTTTGCGGATTAAAGCAGACGTTCACAGATAAAAGCAGATCTTCGCGGATAAAATCAGATGTTTGCAGGTGAAACCGGATGAATCAGACTTTTGCGGACTAAATTAGATGTTTGCGGATTAAAACAGATGTTTGTGGATTAAAGCAGATGTTCAAAGATAAAAGCAGATCTTTGCGGATATAAGCAGATGTTTGCAGGTGAAATCGGATGAAGCAGACTTTTGCGGACTAAAGTAGATGTTTGCGGATGAAATCAGATGTTTGAGGATTAAAATAGATGTTCGCGGATGAAAGTAGATCTTCACGTATTAAAGCAGACGTTTGCGGATTAAAGTAGATGTTTGCGGATAAAATTAGATAAAACCGGGTGAATGCAGATATAAACCCAAATACAGGTATTTGCGGATGAAACCAGATGAAAGCAGATATAGAACTAAATAGATAAAACCCGACGTTCGCGGATAATATTTATACCCGCAATTGCAGATAAAAATCGACATGCCGGGTGAAATCAGATATAAATGGACATAAAACTAGCTTGGTTTTTTATCCGCAATCATCCGATATTACCCGTCTTTTTCAGCAGGGTAAAACAAAAATATATTCATGTACAATGAAGAAAAAGAAAGTCAACCAAAATTAATAAAATAAAGTTTATGATAAACAATGAGAAATAAAAGAAACAAAAGGAATCCAAGGGGATCTCAAATAGATTTCAAAGTAAAATGTGTAAAATGTGTATGGTACGGTTTAAAATATATATTATGAAAGTTTATAAGAAAGTTTATGTGAAGGTATAAATGCATGAGCAACTATTTATTTAAAATGCATTTTGTATAAATTTTATTTTCACAGTGGGCCTGTATCTTGGATATGATCAACTTTTGGATAAGTCAACTTATCGTATTGTTTCAACTTAAATCTATAGCACTGCTAAAATATAAAATATAGTCTGCTATAGCAGACTATAGTCGGCTAATATTCGGTAATATTTTACCTGAATTTGCAGCCTCTCTTTGCCTCTGTTTTCTAAACTTTTCGTCACCCTTCAAGCAATACAGAAACTGTTTCCATTTAGGAAGTCTATTTTCAGTTTGTGTGGTCCTTTCCATTGTCAAACGTACCGGTGCTGGCAATTGAGGGCTGGATGTCAACGACGTTTTTCTACTTTCGTAATGTATAGAAGAATTCTAAAATATAATTAAAATTATGGGGGACATTTGAGATTTTTCAAGGTTACATTGTATATTGGACATATTAGGGAGCTTTTTCTTCTCATACTATTGTTTTCGTTCAAAGGATTTTCTATTAGTTGAGAAGTTGAAGTTCCAATGTCATTATTTTCCTTATTTAATTCGTCCCAGTCTTCTTCTTCAACGGGAATTTCACCACTACCTACCTAAAAATACAATACTTATTTTAATTTTGTGCTTAATTTTTGTCAGCAGTATTTAATTTTTTAGCAGTATTATTACAATGAATTGTTTCTTAAACAGTTTTTGGCATTTGGTTCCTTTTCAGTAAGCGATATCAATGAAGTTAAATGATTTTTTAGGTTGATTCATTAATATTGAAAAAAAAATTATTCTTTGCATTAGGGGTCGACAAGACAAGAATTCTTGTCTTGATAACAACTTCTTGTCTTGTCTTGAGAAAAAATCAAGAAATTTAAAAAAATCTTGTCTTGACGTTTTCTTGACATCTTTTATCTTGTCTTGAGTCAAGAAATTTCAAGATCTTGAAATTTCTTGATTAACCGGTGATTTCCTGGCGATCTTTTTATTGCGTTGCATGCTAACCCGGCAATCTAGTGGTTCACCGATCTTTATTTGTTTTCTGACGAACACAAACAGTGTTGCCACTTGGTTGGTTCCTTTTCAGTAAGCGATATCAATGAAGTTAAATGATTTTTTAGGTTGATTCATTAATATTGAAAAAAAAATTATTCTTTGCATTAGGGGTCGACAAGACAAGAATTCTTGTCTTGATAACAACTTCTTGTCTTGTCTTGAGAAAAAATCAAGAAATTTAAAAAAATCTTGTCTTGACGTTTTCTTGACATCTTTTATCTTGTCTTGAGTCAAGAAATTTCAAGATCTTGAAATTTCTTGATTAACCGGTGATTTCCTGGCGATCTTTTTATTGCGTTGCATGCTAACCCGGCAATCTAGTGGTTCACCGATCTTTATTTGTTTTCTGACGAACACAAACAGTGTTGCCACTTGTAACATAATTATCGAATTGTAACATAGTTTTTTCTAAAAACAAAGCTTGAAAATTATATGTAACATATTCGATAATTGTAACATAATTTTTAATCAAAGTATCTGGACAAAATTAACTTAATTCTATCCAGATTAATTAATTTATTTAAGCATAATGCATGATTTATAGATTTCCTTCCTTCCTCCCGTAAAAGATCAACAATACCGTAGTGCTGTTTATAGATTCCCGTACGGTATTTATAGTTCTAAATGTAACGGTAGAGGCAGCGGTAGAGGTAGCCAAGTTGGGCATTGAATATTATATGAAAAAATTTATAGTTGTCAGAGGTAAGGGAAGTAGAGGCAAGAACGTAGCGGCAAGAGATGACCATCTTTCATCTTTTCTTACCTCAACCGCTACTCCAGCCAATCACACGGCAGTTTTTAGTTGACAGCCTCGCCTTGTAAGTTTAGTGTTTATGCGAGGGGCCGCTATTACCGCTACCGCTACTTTCTGAACTATAAATCCAGCTTTATACAATTTTTAACAAATTTTATAATTTTCTAAAAATATATAATGTATATATATAATATTTTTAACCCTGTTTCTATCACTTTTTTTATGATTAAATTATAATAATTATTGTAACATAATTATTACAATTATTGTAACATAATTTTCCGAAAATTTGATAATTTTATTAACCCAATTCGATAATTTCAACTTTTAAATCTGGCTAAATCGACTAGGCGTTGACTCCATAAGAAGTCTTATTTGCCTTAATTCATGGCTTATGAATTCCGATTTAAAAATTTGTTAAATTTAAAATCTAGTTTGCAATTTTAGTTTCAACAGGATTATCATTTATTATTTTTAATTTACATTTTTGTGAATCGTTCTAGCAAACAATGTGTTTAATAAATTAAAATATGTTATGTTATGATATATTTTTTACAAATAAATACGTTTTAGTGTTTTTATTATTAGTCAAGATATTTCAAGATTTCTTGTTTTCTTGACAAGAAATCTTGGTATTGACATACAATTTCTTGTCCTGTCTTGAAATTTAAATTTACTTCTTGTCTTGATCTTGTCTTGAAATCAAGACAAGATCAAGACAAGATCTTGAAATTTTCAAGAACATGGCGACCCCTACTTTGCATGCAAAAAAATATTAAATACAAAGTTTCGATACATGTACAGTTGTATTAATTTAAAAGGCGTACAAGAATTAGAATTAGAGAAAACAGTCGCCATAATATTATTGCTTGAAACCGTCTTATCACTGACATAAGTCATTAAAATAATAATTACCTATAGTTTATAAATAATACAGAGCATTGACGCCGGAGGTTAATTAAATAAAATTACAAACATAATTTTTCTTATTTTAACATAATATGAGAACAGCGGCCTAAGCGTCGTAGCCATAATTATCTGACATAAGAAATAATTTTCCTTAAACATTTAGCATGTAAAGCCTGATTTATAGATTGCCTTCCTTCCTTCCTCCCGTAAAAGATGAACAATACGAAAATCGTAGTGCCATTTAAAGATTTCCGTACGGGAATCTATAAACAGCTCAACGGTTTTTGTATTGTTCATCTTTTAAGGGAGGAAGGAAGGAAGGAAGAAAATCTATAAACCAGGCTCAGTTTAATGTCCTCCAAAAACCAATATATTTCCCTCCTTGTCCCGCTATCCACTAGCCTAAACTGGGCCTATGGTCCGACCCGGCGACAAAATTCCGGGAGTGGCCATCGACATTGTCATCCACGACCTCCTAGGTGAGATCTACCGGCCGGCGTAAAAATTCGGATCCAACAAACACAGGTAATGCTGTGCAGTTACGGGATACGTAGGAGAACAAAAAGGGGGTAAAATAACCCTGGGAGATTAGTGTAAGGTGATGTTGATGGGGCTTGCAATACTCATTCTCATACTCATAATAATTGTTATAGTGACTTAAGTAAGTGATAAGCCGGTTTTAAGCAATAATATTATGGTGACAGTTTGCTCATTCTAATTCTTGTACGCTGTTTTATGAATACAACTGAGGAGCATCCGTGCAAAACCGGCTATATCCACTTTAATAAAATGTTGGGAAAATGGAAAAAACGAATAAAATGTGAAAAAAAAAACTTTATTATTCAAAAAAATTAACAAAATAAATTTAGTGCAAACATGAAAAAACAGAACAAATTTTAGTAGTATTATCGACATATCCAAGCCGCATATTATTATTTATTGGATATAGCCGGGTTTGCTATAAAAACGTGGATTTGGCCGGTTTTGGTCCTAAAGCTACCTTTTAAATGTGATTTTAACATGGATTTAGTCGGATTTAAACAGAATTATCTTGGTTGTCAATAGAAATGAACCCAAAGATGCCAAATAAAAAAAAAACAAAAACTGAATAAAATGGATTTAGCCGGTTTTGAAGGGATGCTCCTCAACTGTACTTGCTCTTAAAATCTAAAAAACTTTTATTCTGATTAACTTCTGTTTGCTTATAAAAATAATGGTCAAGTAATTGAAATTTCATCTTATTTTTATTCGCAATATTATTGAATCACCCGGTAGTTAGAATTATAATGTTCAGATATATCGTTCATTACATGCACGCCTATGTTTCAGATTCCTTATGAAATATACTATTATCTACTTCTATTATTTTTTTCCGTCAATAATGATCAACATTATAAATTCCCTGCCTAACAACGGATGTCAGATTTTAATAATTCATTTTTAAAAATCATTTAATTGTCCTTATTGGAGTAGATAAAGTATAGTATTACAATCGAGATTATGCGCATTATTCACTCGCGCGACTTGGGACGCAAACCTTATCCTCGTGAATAATAGCCTGCATTATCTCTCGAATAATAATATACCCAGATAGCACAAGAGGTACCCAGGACGTCCATTTCGGGTTCCACTTAGGTCCGAACGTCCCAGACCTATATCGGAAGTTTTGGGTACGTCCAGTCTCTTACTTATTTGGGAAAATTAAAGCGGATATACTCGGTACGTCCCAAGGACGTAATTTTTGTTTTTTTAGCAATTAAAGCATGGTATTTCCAAGTGTCAAGTTGGCTAAATAATATATTATCATTTAAAAATACTTTGTGACATGCAGAATGACTTAAAAAATATTCCAACATTTATATGTTCAAAATATTTGTTTTTCATTGATAACTCACAATTTTATTTTTGTCACTTAGACCCTTTGGGAATACCACTCTTCAACTCTGTAGAGCTTGTCCAATCCCCAATAAAGTATTTCAGGACGGCCAGAGGATGTCTTACTTAGGACATTCTGGGGACCGATGATTTGGTAACATCGGATGTCCCTGCTACGTCCTAGGGAAGGTTCAGGACCTGATTCGGACGTACTCTGGACTTACTAATATCTGATACAAAATATACTCAGGACGTTTCCAGTACTTCTTTATGCTATCTGGGATACTATTATCATTTTTCTTTAACTTTAAATAAAGCACAAAACATAGTTATTATTGTTTATACCTTTGTAAAGTAGTGTACACCAGCAAATTCCAAAAGAGTAGCGATGCAATAGAAGAAACTCATTAACAAGAACCAGTCCAAAGCAGTGGCGTATCGTACTTTAGGCAAGTCGGTACGTGAATCCAAACTAATTGTAGATAATGTCAAAACGGTAGTTATTCCTAACCCGACTCTGTCCGATGTGGCCTCTCGGTGAATCCAAAATGATACCCATGAAAGCACCACAATCAATATACATGGAACATAAACTTGGATCAAGAAATAACCGGTATGTCTTTGAAGATTAAAAGAAACTTGAAGAACTGAAAAATCGCCTAAGGAATAAGAAAGTTTAGTACCACGAAAAATTTTTTTGAAGTTGAAAAAAATGTCATTTGATACTTATGATTTTTGTAAGTACTATTTGGTTAAAGAAAAAAATTAAAAATTAAAAACAATATCTGAGAAGTGACCTCCTCTGGCTCTTATGATGATGATACTGAAAAAATCGCTGAATTCTCAGCGGGTCACTGAACATTTATTGTACGGGGGGAAAATCTGCAAAATTCTTACCCTATAGAGTAAGATTTATGCAGAATTGTTTTTGCTCCGGAGGATAAAAGTATGCTTTTTCTTCGATTTTATTAAACATTTTTTAATGTTTAATCCAACGTTGTCTACACAACCCAACCCAGGGAAATGATTTTAATAAATTGGAAATATATTAAAACAATGTACAAAAAGAAGTTTTTTTTATTAAATTAAACAAACATTAATGTTGATTAAAAAATATAAATTATTAAATTTCAACCTAATGTTCTATAATTTTAGTTTCGCGAGCCTAAAGATTTTGTCAAGACTAGTACCGTGGTACCTATAAAGAAGAATCAGTTTTACTCATTTGCATTTGCAAATGAAATGATGGACAATCGTGTCATTCACAAAACTAAATAAAAATTCAATGTCAATGGGATCCTCGGCTAAGGGATGAAATCCAGTAAAAAATACGAAGATCTCTTATTGACGTTTTCTCTGCAACTTTTAACCATTTTTAAAAATTCCCAGCATACTTAAATAAAAAACGGTTAAATAAAACTCCTTGACTTATATTCAAATAAAGCTTAGCTATGCCACAGACTAACGCAAAATCGGTATTTCAGTAAATAAAGCCAATAAAACACATAATTCTTTGCGAAAACAATTTTAAAACCAAATAATTTCACAAAGAGGAAATATTAACTGGACGCTAAGGTCCTGAGATTTAACATCGTTGGAGATATTTCTTTGGGGTTACAATTTATTAATCTATTTTGCCAAAAGAATTATATACTTTTAAAGAGCCAGAGGGGGCCACTTATTCTATATTGTTGTATATTTATCTGTAATAAGTGTATAGCATTACTTTGAAATAAATATATATTATTATTATTATTATTATTATTGGTTTCCATTATTAACCGCCTCTTTGTATTTCACAATATTGTGAATACCTACAAATTTCGTAGGAACTAAGTAATTATTGCATTTCATTTCAACCTCAATTTTAACTGCCTTTTCCTTAAGGAAGGTAGTTACCTTCTCTTCTGGTAAATGTAAAGTTCCTGTAAGGAAAACTCATAAGATCGAATTGGGAGAGTGTCATTCCTGGTACAAAATTTACACTGGCTTCGTTTTGCCATTGATAGATAAGATCTTTGGACGTGTAGGCATCTAAAAAATGATATTTGTTTTTTATATATTCTTATTTTATGGCAAGAACTTACAACTACCCATTATCAAGGGACAAGACTGCCTATCCATTGGGAAGCTTTTGAGTTCCATAGGGCATTTTGCTTTTATGGTGAGTCTAAAATGAAATCCGTACATAATTGAATGCATTCTTATCAGTGTGCTGATTTTTCGATCATTCATATTATATTAATAATATTTTTGAAACCAGTCTTTTGGCTCAGAAAAAAAATATCCACTTCTTCTCCTTATGACATAACCTAGTATTATTTTCTAACATAATATAATATTAATTTTATCAGCCGCAACGCAGTCCTTCAGAAATTATTCATTATTGTATTAGTACAATTATTAGTATTATTATAAAACAATAATGAGATTTAAGAGCGTAGACAATAATTCAATATTACCCTATTTCATTCAAATTATTTTCGCATATGCCTTCGGAGAAAACATTTGTCATTGGCAGACTGTCAATTATATTAAGCTAATATTTTTAAGATTTTGTTAAAAGATAAAATATTATGTTATTTGGAGGAGGTCTTCTTGTGGTTCGCTCAATTGCTTTTCCTAGGCACAAAGCGCCTGGGCTACAGTCTTTTGGGATCAGCACAAAAAGACTCACTTCTTCTTCTAATGACATAATCTACTATTTTTTTCTAGCATAATATAATTATTACAAATTATTCATTATTGTGTTACCCTGCTGAAAATGACGGATGTCCAAACGAAAGCGGATGAAAATAACACCCGAGTTGGCCTTCTTTGCTAGATCCTCGAAAACCTTTTTATACGGATGATGCCCCCGCAACTTTCTTCTATCATAAGCTTTCAACCGGCTTTGTCTGGTTTTATACAATTTTGCTTGCATTTCGTTCGTCTATATCATCTGCTTATATCTGCGTTGCCCACTTCGCTACATCCGCAAACACCCGATTTGTCTGTTTTTATACGGTTAGTGCACAACCGCAATTATCTGCTTTCGACCGGCTTCACAACGTTTAGTTCACGTCTTCATTGGAGTGGTTTTATGCAAGATTGCCTGCATTTCGTTTGTCTATTCCTACAAGAAAACCATGGTCTATTCCATTTGCCACATTACTTTGGTTTCATCCGAAAACGTCTGCTTACATCGGGTTTTATCTATGATTGCCCAAATTATTTCGCCTATTTTCGTCCGGTTTTATCCGCATTTACACACCTTCATATAAACCTGGTAAGTTTTCGAGAAACAGCGTTTCAATAATAAATTATTATTATATTTTTTTTTTAAATAAGCATAATTCAATAAAAAAAGTGGTTTTAGAATTGTTCAACTAAAAAATAGCACTGTTTAAGTGCATTTTTGAAAGAATATCGAAATGTACCCAGCCAATATGTCATTTAATATTCACTTTAAGCCATTTAAGAAGATCTGTAAGATCGCAAAGCACGTGCCCCCTAGGCATCCCTGATATTGTTACCACCTTAATAACAAAAATATAATTACAAACATATTATGTGCCCATACTAATTTAATAATTTAACATCAGACTTAGACGTTACGTTTCGTACAATAAATAGAGATACAATGGCTCAAAAAACGTTAAATGGTCTCGCCAATTTAAATGTTCATAGGGAGGTTAATATCGATATAAATAAAGTGTTATATATTTTAAAAGAGAAACTTACCAGGAGGTTTGTTTTGGCTTTATAAATTTTTTGGGTATCAAGTTATTTATATTTTTGAAACATAAATATATTTTACATGCATAATATACATTTAATATTAACGGACGCAGTATTGTACAGGACGCAGCATTGAATGGTGGTTTCTTCATGTAGAGACGGAGCACCATACCCCGGATGTATAAATATATATCACTCATATAGCACATATACCTACTTTTAATATTTTCTTGTTACGGTCTCACCTCATAGAATATAAAATGTCGCCATCCTGACTGATCCGGAGCAGCTTGTTGGGCACAGTAATCGTGTGGACGTAGGAATTTTTTCCGTTGTAAAAGTAAGTATCCGGTCGCCATATGCGCTCCAGCATTTTTATCGACAGCGATAGCGATTTGATCGGTCCTAAAACATTGAAGCATCATATCATCAAATAATAGATTATCCACCTAATTTTACCAATACGAAGGTTCACAGTGAATTTATTTTGGTAATTAGGTGCAGATTACTTTTGCTTATACCGTTTTAACAAAACATTGTTGAATTAAATTTTTAGATTTGCGATGACCCAAATATTTACAATAAATATTTTTGTATAAAATATATAAAAATAAATGACACTACCTACTTTTAAGAACATTTCATATACTAGGTATAATAGTTTGTATTGATAACCACATAAGTATAAAAATGGCGAATGCGCCAGGATATCCAAGGTATAAATATACATTATAAATAAAATTGAAGCAATTATTTGTTCGTCCGGGCTAAATCAATTTTGACAAGATTAAATGAAAGGTAGATAATTTGTTAGAAAACAATATACGCTACTTTTCATCCCCAACTTTTATCCACATACAACAAAAAAAGTAAAAAAAAAAATTGTTTACCTTTGAAGGGCCCTGGTACCTAAGAAGCAAAAGGGTGCATTTTAGCATGAAAATAAGTTAAGTGCAGAATTGAGTAGTATAGAGTCCAATTTTTTTTTAAATTTTTTTATAACGAGAAAATTGTACGAGTTCTGCATGTTGATTAATGCAAACAACAATATTGAGACAAGTATCCAGATTTGTGTATATAGCAAAAACTTTAAAAGTTATTAACTCCACTTATCCTTTTTACTTGTACCCTTTTGCTTCTTACCCCTTTATTTAAGATGCTTTATTGTTAATTCCACGATAGTTCAAGTGTTTTTATATTTAACGGCTGGACAGATTTCGCTAAAATTTGTTAGGTATGAAGGTGTTTTAGGTCTTGAAACATAACGGGAACAGGAAAGAAACAATATATTATATATATATATATATATATATTATATATATATATATATATTAGGGTGCATCAAAAAATTTTTTTTTCGCTTTTACCCTCTCAAATGTTTTTATTTAATATAAAAAAAATCCTCACCAAATATGGGCGTTCCAGCTCAACTCTAAGAGGTCGCTGTTTTTATTTTAGTTTCCCATTGAATTAACATGGGAAAAAATTAATTTATGTTTGGAATTTTATACCTCTGTATCAAAGTAACGTACGGCAATGATCATTGCAGTTTCTTATATAAAATTTAACGCTCTACAAAAAAGGTCTCTTATTATTTTTCGATAAATTGATTTCTTCTAGAGTTATTCGAGGTCAAAGTTTGATTAACATTAAATTTTCTGGTACAATTAGCAGACGGGAGGTGAAAGGGGGAAAACTTTGACCTCGAATAACTCTAGAAGAAATCAATTTATCTAAAAATAATAAGAGACCTTTCTTGTAGAGCGTTAAATTTTATATAAGAAACTGCAATGATCATTGCCATAAGTTACATTGATACAGACGTATAAAATTTCAAACATAAATTAATTTTTTCCCATGTTAATTCAATGGGAAACTAAAATAAAAACAGCGACCTCTTAGAGTTGAGCTGGAACGTCCATATTTGGTGAGGATTTTTTTATATTAAATAAAAACATTTGAGAGGGTAAGAGCGAAAAAAAAATTTTTTTGAAGCACCCTTATATATATATATATATATATATATATATATATACGATGTGTGTTCAAAAAATAACGGGAATTGTTAAATTTCGCGGGTTTGGAAGGTCGGGTTGTCATAAAATTTTCTTTATTATGTTGGTATACATGCCCCCGAAGTATAATAAAAACTTTAGCTGTTTACTTTGTCTGTGGCAGCCGCTAAGGTTAGACGTGTTTTATGAGCTCGGCGATTTTCGTCCGTTAAAAGAAATGGATCAAAGAATTTGTATCCAATTTTGCTTAAAAAATGAAATAAATTCTTTGAAATGTTAACAAAGGCCTATAGTGAGTATGCTATAAGTAAAACAAGAGTTTACAAGTGATATAAGAGTTTCCAAGATGGCCGTGAAGACGTTGAAGATGACGAACGCCCCGAACGCACAAGCACATTAACAACCGATAAAAACATGGAAAAAGTGGAAGAAATGGTTATTAACCATCAGAGAAGTCGCTGATGATGTTGGTATATCGATTGGCTCATCCCATGATTTTTTTTCGAATGTTTTGGGTATGAAACGCGTGGCAGCAAAATTTGTTCCAAAATTGTTAAATTTCGAACAAAATTTTTGGCCAAAAACAATACTGTAATGATGCCTCAGCCTCCATATTCGCCAGACATGCCTCTGTCTGACTTTTTCCTATTCCCAAAAATAAAGAGAACCTTAAAGGGCCGTCGTTTTGCAAGCATAGATGACATTAAAAGCGCATCGCTGAAAGACCTAAAGGCTATCCCAAAGATCGAGTTTTAGAAGTGTTTAGAGTATTGGAAGATGAGCTGGCACATGTGCATAATATCCAATGGGGACTATCTTGAAGGCGGCAACATTAATGTAGACGAATAAATAAATATTTGTTTCAAAAAAACGAAAATTCTCGATAGGTTCTGAAAACACCTCGAATATTAGGGTGGGTTGAAAACAAAATGTTTGTTTTTTTTCTTAGCATGGGGGTAGAATTTGTACCTTATAAAAAAAGAAAATTTTTCATAAGAAAAAAAATTATTTTACTCAACATCTTGAGGTGGCCCACTCGTTTTTTAAATAAATATTTAATCCAATGGGGTAGCTCCAACGGGAAATTCTTTTTTTGGTCCAAAATCGTGGAAAACGTAAAAATTGTAGAATGTTTTTTTTTCACTCAACTTTCACTCTAATACAAAAGAAAGTGAATTTTATTTTTAAATTTTTTACTTAAATTACAAAAACAATGGGAAAAAAACTTTTTCAACTTTTGACTTCCAATTGGCTTTTAAGGGGACACCCTACAGATTCTAGAACAAAAAAAAAGAATTTTCCGTTGAAACGGGGTACCATTTGATTAAATATTTATTTAAAAAACGAATTTTGTTTTCAAACCACCCTAATATATATATACAGGGGCGTGCTGGGCCGCCGGGACACCGGGAGAAATCCCGGTGGGCCGGTGGTCCGGAGGTTTAAGTGGGCCGGTGTGCCGGAGGGCTATGTAGGCAGCATGCCGCAGCACGTGGTCAA